AAGGAGGTGAAAGACCTATACCCTGAAAACTACAAGACACTCTTCAGAGAAATTAAAGAGGACAACTAACAAATGGAAACTCATCCCATGCTCTTGGCTAGGAATAATTAATATTGTCAAAATGGCCATCCTGCCTAAAGCAATATACAGATTCAATACAATCCCTATCAAATTACCAATAGCATTCTTCAATGAACTGGAACTAATAGTTCAAAAATTCATATGGAACCACCAAAGACCCTGAATAGCCAAAGCAATCCTGAGAAGGAAGATTAAAGTGGGAAGGATCTCACTCCCCAACTTCAAGCTCTACTACAAAGCCACAGTAGTCAAGACAATTTGGTACTGGCACAAGAACAGAGCCACAGACCAGTGGAACAGAATGGAGACTCCAGACATTAACCCAAACATATATGGTCAATTAATATATGATAAAGGAGCCATAGACATACAATGGGGAAATGACAGCCTCTTCAACAGCTGTTGTTGGCAAAACTGGACAGCTACATGTAAGAGAATGAAACTGGATCTCTGTCTAACCCCATACACAAAAATAAATTTGAAATGGATCAAAGGCCTGAATGTAAGCCAGAAAACCATAAAACTCTTAGAAAAAAACATAGGCAAAATCTCTTGGACATGAACATGAATGACTCATTCATGAACATATCTCCCCAGGCAAGGGAAACAAAAGCAAAAATGAACAGGTGGGGCTATATCAAGCCGAAAAGCTTCTGTACAGCAAAGGACACCATCAATAGAACAAAAAGGCATCCTATAGTATGGGAGAATATATTCATAAATGACAGATCTGATAAAGGGTTGACATCCAATATATAAAGAGCTCATGCACCTCAACAAACAAAAAGCGAGCAATCCAATTAAAAAATTGGCAGAGGAGCTGAATAGACAGTTCTCCAAAGAAGAAATTCAGATGGCCAACAGACATATGAAAAGATGCTCCATATCGCTAATCATCAGAGAAATGCAAATTAAAACCACAATGAGATATCACCTCACACCAGTAAGGATCGCCACCATCCAAAAGGCAAGCAACAACAAAGTTGGCAAGGTTGTGGAGAAAGGGGAACCCACCTACACTGCTGGTGGAAATGTAAATTAGTTCAACCATTGTGGAAAGCAGTATGGAGGTTCCTCAAAAAGCTCAAAATAGATATAACATTTGACCCAGGAATTCCACTTCTAGGAATTTACCCTACAAATGCAACAGCCCAGTTTGAAAAAGACACATGCATCCCTATGTTTATTACAGCACTATTTACAATAGCTAAGAAATGGAAACAACCTAAATGTCCATCAGTAGATGAATGGATAAAGAAGATGTGGTACATATACACAATGGAATACTATTCAGCCACAAGAAGAAAACAAATTCTACCATTTGCAACAACATGGATGGAGCTAGAGGGCATTACGCTCAGTGAAATAAGCCAGGTGGAGAAAGAGAGGTATCAAATGATTTCACTCATATGTGGAGTTTAAGAACAAAGAAAAACTGAAAGAACAAAACAGCAGCAGAATCACAGAACCCAAGAATGGACTAACAGTTTCCAAAGGGAAAGGGACTGGGGAGGATGGGTGGGAAGGGAGGGATACGGGTGGGGAAAAAGAAAGGGGGCATTACGATTAGCATGTATAATGTGGGAGGGGGGTCATTGGGAGGGCTGTGCAACACAGTGAAGACAAGTAGTGATTCTATAGCATCTTACTATGCTGATGGACAATGACTGCAATAGGGTGAGGGGGGACTTGGTGAAGGGGCGAGCCTAGTAAACATAATGTTCTTCATGCAATTGTAGATTAATGATAACAAAATAGAGAAAATAAAAAATAAAAGGGGCAGAGGAGCTGAACAGACAGTTCTCCAGAGAAGAAATTCAGATGGCCAACAGACACATGAAAAGATGCTCTGCATTGCAAGTCATCAGAGAAAAACAAATTAAAACCACAATGAAATATCACCTCACACCAGTAAAGATCACCACCATCCAAAAAACAAACAACAACAAATGTTGGCAAGTTTGTGGAGAAAGGGGAACCCTCCTACACTGCTGGTGGGAATGTAAACTAGTTCACCCATTGTGGAAAGCAGTATGGAGGTTCCTCAAAAAACTCAAAATAGAAATACCATTTGACCCAGGAATTCCTCTCCTAGGAATTTACCCTAAGAATGCAGCAGCCCAGTTTGAAAAAGACATCTGCACCCCTCTGTCTACAATAGCCAAGAAATGGAAGCAACCTAAATGTCCATCAGTAGATGAATGGATAAAGAAGATGTGGTACATATACACAATGGAATATTATTCAGCCATTAGAAGAAAACAAATCCTACCATTTGCAACAACATGGATGGAGTTAGTGTGTATTATGCTTAGTGAAATAAATCAGGCAGAGAAAGACAAGTACCAAAGGATTTCACTCATCTGTGGAGTATAACAGCAAAGCAAAAACTGAAGGAACAAAACAGCAGCAGACTCACAGAACCCAAGATGAACTAACAGTTACCAAAGGGAAAGGGACCGGGGAGGATGCGTGGGAAGGGAGGGATAAGGGGAATAAGGGGCATTGTGATTAGCACACATAATGTAGGGGTCATGGGGGAAGGCAGTATAGCATAGAGAAGACAAGTAGTGACTCTATAGCATCTTACTATGCTGATGGACAGTGACTATAATTGGGTATGTGGTAGGGACTTGATAATGGGGGGATTCTAGTAACCACAATGTTGCTCATGTGATTGCATATCAATGACACCTTAATTTTAAAAATAAATAATTAAGTAAAAATAAAAATAAATTAGTCTTGGGGATAGAAGAACAATGAAGGGAATATAACCAATAATATTGTAATAATGTATGTTGGCAGATGGTTACTACACTTGTTACCGTGAGCATGTAGTAATGTAATTGTTGCAGCACTATGTTGTACATCTGCAACTAATATAGCATTGTGAATCAACTATATCTCAATAAAAATAAATAATGAATTTTTTTTAAAAAAGGAATGTGAGAGCAAGTTTGTGGGAAGTTACAGAGAGGTGAGATAATACTCGGCTGAAAAATATCCATGAGAGAGCTGCTTCAGAGGAACAGTGAATGCAAAAGCCAGGCTGGAATGGTCTGAGAAGTGAGTAAGAGGAAAAAAACAGAGGTGCTTTTCCTTCCACCAAAAAAATAGTTGTAGGGAATGTATTTATATTGGCCCAAAAGAAAAGTTTCATCATTATAACCAAATCAGAAATACCAAGTGAGTTCAAGCTCCACTTGGATGAAAGTTAATCTCAATTTGTACATGTTGATTCACCTAGTTCTCTGAGCTCCAAAGGAATGGAACTAGCTCTAGAAAAACACACTAGTTAGTTACCATTCCAATTAGAAAATAAGAATTCTACAAAGAAAATGCTACCAAAAAAATTGCTACAAAAAGGTCACTTGGACAAAGTGAAGCGAGAATGTCATTTATCCACCCGACTCCGGGCCAGCGGTCATCACCAGACCCAGGCGGAGATATGGACACTTTTGTACAAATTCGATAAACAAACAATGCTATGAAACACCCTGAACTTAAAATCCCAATATAATTGATGGAGAATTGTATCTTTGCTCTCTTATTTGCCTCAAAAAGGAAAATAATAGTTTTTACCTCCTAAAATCCATGCCTTCTTCTGCCTTCTACACATAAGGTGGGTCTTCCCACGATGCTTTTCTCCCATATCCAAAACCTTTTTTTCCAAGTTCTAGGTCAGTTTCTGCTTATCAGTGAGTCTTTTCTGATTACACCTATATCACACCTCATTTGGGAAACCCTTAGCATTTGTGCCTTTAATGTGTAATTTTGCCATTCAGGACTTGGTTTCAAACTCCAAAATATTTTCCACAGTAGATTATGAGGCCCAAGAGGCAGAGACTGTAACTCTTCTTCTTTTATATGTTACTAAGAGTCTTTATATATACTCAAATTAAGTAGGGTATTGTAAACTAATCCTAATTTACAATTGCTCCAAACCCCATTTCATCTCCAAATCCTAGTCCTCAGATTTCCTTATGAGCACTAATAATAGCCAGCATTTATTACTATATACCATTCATTATTCTAGACACTTTTCACATAATAACACATATAATCCTCCCAGAAACCCTATTATATAGATATTCCTATTCCTATTTTACAGATTGAGTATTGAGTTACAGAAAGTCCAAGTGACACTATTAAGTGGCACAGTTAGGATTCAATCCAAGACACAGGAGCCCACACTGCTAACTTTGTCGCAACAGAAAAACAATCTTAAATAAAGTCTGCTCCTACCTAGACTAGTTTTACTGATGTGCCAGGATTAAGTAGCACAGTTTAGCAACCATAATTTAAAGATACTGTATTCTGCTTAACCACAGGTGCATTTTTTACACCCTCTCCCTCCGGGCTACAAGACAGACTCTATCCCTGACAGACCATAGGTGGCGCTGCAGGGACAGGTAAGCGCGCGCGAGGAATCAGTCCGTCACCCCGCAGAGGGAGGAGCCTAAGAGATGGCAAGGGGAAGGCGAGCGGTCTGTTGCGCGCAGGCGCAGTGTTGGGCACGCCTCCGGGATTGAGGGTTGCTGGGCTCGGTGACGTGGCCTGGCAGCGTCCGTTCCAGTGCTCCTCCGGGGAACCCGGCGCTGCCGGAACTGCCCGCGGCCTAGTCCCGACGTGCGTGTGCTCGTGAGCCGGAGCCCGGGCCAACGGCGGCGGCGGCAAGCGGGCCTGCGGGGACCCGACGGGACCGCTGCCATGGGGGAGTGACGCGCCTGCGCCCGCTGCTCCGCTACAGCGGCGAGTCATGAGGAGACCCCGCGGCGGGGGCAGCGGCGGCGGCTCCTGAGCCCCGGGATGGAGGAGAAATATGGCGGGGACGTGCTAGCCGGCCCCGGCGGCGGCGGCGGCAGCCTCGGGCCGGTGGACGTGCCCAGCGCTCGGTAAGGGACCCATACGGCTCCCACCTCCAGAGCCGCGCTCTCCCGCTCCTGCGCTCGTCGGTTAGCCAGCTCGCCGGTCTGCACGGCAGCCACCAGTCCTGCGGCTCGGGACACTCTCCCCCGACCGCCGCTCCGCAGCCGCGGTGTGCGCGGGGCCCGGGCGTCCCTGCTGTGCGGCTGTCAGCCCGGGTCGCCCTCCTTGGTCCACACGCGCCCCAAAGCCCTGCGTCCTCTCTCCCTCTACTCCTAGACCGCCCCTCGCTTTCATTGGCTCCTCTGTTGCCCGCTGCTGAAAGAATGCTCTTAAAATTCAGGAAGGTTCTGCGTGAATTTCTGGTTCTCGAGGCAGACCGTTAACCTTGGCACTGCCAGCAGTTCACAGGAGAGCTTTTTCTGATCTCTGGGGAACATTCTGCTGGCTCTTTCTCCCTAAAATAGGCACTGCTTAACCTTTCCGACGTCTTCTTGATTTAGTTAGGGGGAGATACCACTATCTTATCTTGAGACGAAGGAAACAAAGCAGAACAGATGAACTTCCATATTCAGTTTAACCCCGCACATTAAACATCCAGCCCGTCATCCAGTTTTCTTTGTCTTTTTAATTTATCTTCATTATTAAGTAAGAACTGTGCTTGCTCACTGTCAGAAATTAAAACAGTACAGAAATTCATGGAGTAAAAAAGCAAAAATTCCTCTTTATCCTCCCCTGCAATACCCCTAACCCCCAAGAGTTAAGTACAGCGTGTCCTCCTTTACCTGCCTTGTTAAGTTCCAAAGTAGTGCCCAATACACATAAAATACGGCCCAACCGTTTGGTTGGAACTGATATCCATTGCCTTCATTTTTAATTGCGGTTAAGTTTTCCTTGTTCTTGAATATTTCCTTTGAGATTTAAAGAGTGCTTTGATAAATTCTTTGAAACTGTAAAAACATCATTACTAACAACTTTTGTGAAAAGGAAAGGACAAAATGCTGGAATAGAATTTACATCAACTGCATTTTTGTAGTATATGTATAATTTTTATAATCTATTTTGAGCAATGTTCATTTTGTAAACAGCATGTCAGATACTATGTAAGGAGACATGGCAACTAAGTGCAATAGGGGATTCTGGTCTGGATTTGGTAGTAGAGGGAAAAGCTGCCAAGGACAGTGCTAAGACAGTTGACAAAAGTTGGACCATAGAAAATAAACTTACAAATGGTAAACTTGCTGAGGTTGATGACTACTGATTCTATAAGAGAATGTCCATGTTCTGAAGCAATACAAGTGTTTAGGGATAAAGGAGCATGATAAACATAACTTGCTCTTACGCGGCTCAGAAAAAAAATCTCTGTATTTAGAAAGAGAGGTAATAAGGCAAATGGGACAATACCTTAAGTAGAATCTAAGTATACTATTCTTGCAGCTTTTCTATAAATTTGAAATTATTTAGAATAGTTTTTTTTTTTTTACACAAGAGCTTATTTTCTTTGGTAGGTGTGGTAGATAGTCCTTTGCCATCTTACTTGTTTTACGTATATGCTTAGCAAAGCTGCACGTTTATTGTAGTTCATTGCAAATTCAAATTCAAATTCAATTCAGGAGTGGTTGAATGTATGATAGATTACAGGTTGCAAGAGTTTTCCTTGATATGGACTTTCATATGGAAAAATCAAATATTGACAAATCCTTTAATTGTGGATGTTTTTATGCCTGAATTTACAAATATGAATTGTTTTAAATGTTTTGTTTTGGCTTCTGTAAGTCCTTTTTGCAGGAAAGAGTAGAGGGTGAGAGCTAACATTTCTTGAGCACCTCCTGTGTTCCATGTGCTTTGAGTACAACATCTCAATCCTTACAGCAGTGCTACTGACTAGTGGTATCCTTGTCTCACAGATCAGTAAACTGAGATGTAGAAAAGTATATTTTCCCACACCTAATAACTGGGAGTCAGTTATCCCAAAGTCCATGCATAGTGCCTTCTAGATATTAGAAACTTTGAGGATTTATTGAATGAATTGAACTTAAATATACACACTGGTTTTGGTGTTTTAACTGGAGAACTGTGAGCTTGGGCAGAGCTCAAGAAGCAGGTTTGAATCTAAACCCAAATTTCAGTCGCTCCAAGTTTAGAGAACCAGAGATCTAACCCTTCAGAGAAAAGACCAGTGACATGACACCTTTGATGAAACTGGTTAATGGCAAATAATGATTTATAAGTTGGGAAGCTGGATTGGATCCCCCTGATTTTCTCAGAGGATCTCAAGGGCCACTGCCTCTATTTAAGAATTTAAGAGTCTCCCTCTCCTTACTGCGCTGCCTCCCCACCCGCCACAATCTTTCCCCCTTAGTAAATGAAGCTGCTAATTGTTTCCCTAGCAATATTAGCTAGGAATGTCCACTTATTTATATGTTATTATTTGGCCTTAGCTAGTGTTTTCATCTTTAACCAACCGGAAGACTTTATTAATTGGGACTTTAAAAATCAAATAATCAACTTTTAACTAAATGTTAACAATTTTCTTAATTTCATAACAAAAGATCTTCAATATGTATTATGTGAAAAATCATATAGCAATATCAAATTATTTGTACAATAATGAATATGTGAATGTATCTAAAATATGTATATGTCCATACATGGGGATGCAAAGGAAAAGGTTTGGAAGGATGTACTAAATTGATCACCTATGAGGAGGAAATTGGAAATGAATTTACTTGAAACTTTTATGACAACCAGCTGCTCAGGAGTTACTTCTGCAATCTCTGTTTTTTAAAAATTAAAAGAATAAAGAAAATATGTGTCAGAAAGGTCATAATAATAATGTTATCAAGAAGTATTGTCCTTATATGGTTACATATGACTAAATCTTGCCATTAAAGTGCCACCTTTTTAAGTCTTATAAATACTTTAAGCAAAAATTACTTAGAAATAATTTTACGTATTGCCCATCTTCTTAAAACAACTTCTTAAAGTATATATTAAGTGTAACTTACCTTTTCCTTGACGACTTCTGGTCGTGATGTGTACCATCTGGTGAACTGAGCTTAATTACAGTCCCTTCTTCAAAGGCTCCTTCCAAGTACTAGTAGTTTGCATATGCTGCTCCCTGCTTAGAAATACCCGTTCCCTTTCCTGGCTTTCTTATTCCTACTTAGTTTTTAAATACTTACACATCTCAAGCTCTGAAGATGGCCCTTTGCTTCTCTATTTAAAATTGGTTTCTTCCACATCTATTCTTTCAGAACTCTTACTTACCTGAGTCACATTACTACTTGTTTACTTGCCTGTCTTTCTTAGACCTCTAACTCCTTGGAGGCAGGGTCTCTAATAGGCGTTTAGAGTCTTGAATAGCACCTAGAAATGTGTTTAGTTGTAAGTAACCAAACTAAGAGAGCCTTGAACAAATAGGGATATATTCTTACATAAAAGAAACCAGAGGTAGTTCATCTCAGTGATACCATCTAGGCTCTGCTCTCTGCCACTCTTAAGTGTATTTATTGGCTTTCATATTCAGGCTTGTTATAAAATAGATAACACTGTCAAGATAAATTTTAGATGAAAGTCATCCCTTCAAAGCAGAAAGAAGGCAGAAGTAGTTCCAGCTGCATCTTACCCTTTTCCCAGACAGAAGGAACGTGCAATCTGTAGCCTCCTGTCAGACTTCCCTTTTATGTCTCATTGACCACACATGGCTTCAGGCACATAGTAAGTGTACAGGGAGTATTTGAAGAGTGGTTAACTCACCCTGTGGAATATATACAAGGCTCTTTATTGCCATCAAGAATTCCTAGATGGCTATGATTTTTTGTGTACCTCTATTTCTCCTGTTCTTTAATTTTTTCCTTCCCTAGCTTGTTGAGTGTTCTTTGTGCCCTTATTTCTGTCTTGCTGCCTTATTTTTATACTTAAGAGGTTAAGGAGGAAATGACTTGAAGTTTTTAGCTTCCCTATTTGATTTCATTCTTTTCTTTCATTGAATTCATGGCCTAGTTGCTAATAGTTTTAATTGCCAGAAGCTTGACTGCCACTTACGTACTATATTACTGCACTATATAAGTCACTGTACTAGATATTACTGTATCACACAAGTATAATTGTAAGTTGGCATTCTTTCATTTGGTAAACATTTGCTAAGCACATATTATGCAAGTCCCTGTGTTAGAAACTGAATAAACAAAGGATTTTTAGCTCAACTCTTTTTATTGGAATTGCTGAAATTCATTCTTTCAAGGACTGAAATATAGTTTAATAAATGCATTGAAAGCTTTCTAAAATATGTATTTCCATGCCACCTTAGGCAGATTACTGTTTTATGTAGCTTAACTCTTTCTTGTTAATGCAGTGCCATGATACTTCATGATTCTCACTCACCAATTTTTATACCATCCTACATTCATTGGTACTCCCACTGTATATCAAATTGTCTTAACTACTATTTGACTAAAATTTCCTTTAAACTTCTATGTTTTCTCACCTTGATAGAGACTTCTCATTTCTGACAGTGTGCTGGCTGTGGACATCCCTTACACCTCCTCTTTAATGTATTAACACCTGCTTGATGTTACTTAAAAAGTGGTTCCCTGAGTGGCTTGGACAAGACCTATTAGGGTGGGGAGGAAATATTAGGAATTTCTCAACTTTTCATCTCATTCTTTTTAATTTCTGATTTGTATACATTTTATAACATAAAACATCAATACAGTAGTTCATGTTTATAATATGCAGATAAATCATGGGTTTCATGTACAAAATTTTATTTACTACTAGAGGTGAATTATCAAAGAAGACTATTAGGCTGACAAACAGAAATCATTTCTCTATTTTCTAGTTTCTCTTCAGGAGCTCCTTTTTCCTTTCTTTATATGGCAGACTAATTTTTTCATAGATACAATATTCTTGTCTCAATATTATTTATAGTTCTTGTTTCTGCTATTCGCTATGATCTCTGTATCTTTTAAATTTCTCTTGTTTTTGTTTGGTCTCTCACAGGCTTATCTTAAAGGATTAATTAGCCATGTTTGGGCATTCATAGTTGAGTGAGATCTAAAAAGCTAGTTGGAAGACCTCTGTGGGGCTTTTGTATCCCAGTGGACTTCTCCAAAGAAGGGTTCACTTCCTGGGAGATAGCAACTTGGCTGTTAAGATAAGGGAAGGGATAAAACCCAGAGAAGAAAACATAGGCAAAAATCTCTTGAACATAAACATGAGCAACTTTTTCCTAGACACATCTTGGGCAAGGGAAACAAAATCATTAATGAACAAGTGGGACTACATCAAACTAAAAAGCTTTTGTACAGCAAAGGACACCACCAGCAGGACAAAAAGACATGCTATAGTATGGGAGAATGTATTCATAAACGATTTATCCATTAAGGGGTGACCATCCAAAATATATAAAGAACTCACATGCCCCAACAACTAAAAAACAAATAACCGATTAAAAAGTGGACAGAGGATCTGAACAGACACTTCTCCAAAGAAGAAATTCAGATGGCCAATAGGCACATGAAAAGATGCTTCATATCACTAATCATCAGGGAAATGCAAATTAAAACCACCATAAATAAGATATCACCTACACCAGTTAGAATGGCCAACATCCAAAAGACAAAGAATAACAAATGCCAGCGAGGATACAGAGAGAGAGGAACCCTCCTACACTTCTGGTGGGAATGTAAATTAGTTCAACCATTGTGGAAAGCAGTATGGAGGTTCCTCAAAAAACTAAAAAGAGAAATACCGTTGAGCCAGTCATTCCACTCCTAGGAATTTATCCAAGGGAAACAAGATGCCTGAATCAAAAAGACTTATGTACCCCTATATTTATTGCAACACTATTTACAATAGCCAAGATACGGAAGCAACCTGAGTGTCCACCAATAGATGAATGGATAAAGAAGATGTGGTACATACACACAAGAATATTATTCAGCCATAAAAAGAAGTCTGACCATTTGCAACAACATGGATGGAGCTAGAAGGTATTATGCTCAGTGAAATAAGCCAGGCAGAGAAAGACAAGTACGAAATGACTTGACTCATTTGTGGAGTATAAAAACAAAACAAAACTGAAGAAACAAAATGGCAGCAGATTCACATATTCTGAGAACGGACTAGTGGTTACCAAAGGGGAGGAGGGGCTGGAGAGGGTGGGTGGGGTGGGAGAAGGTGATTAAGGGGCACTATAATTCGCAATCACAGTATAGGTAGGTCACGGGGAAGGCAGCACAGTACGGGGAAGACAAGTAATGACTCCATAGCATCTTACTATCCTGATAGTGACCACAGTGAGGCATGGTGAGAACTTGATAATACGAGTGAATGTGGAAACCACAGTGTGTTCATGTGAAACCTTCATAAGATTGTATATCAATGATACTTTAATAAATATAAAAAAGAAGTGGGTAAGGATTAA